GGGGGGGGGGTGCCATTTTTTTTTTTCCAAAAATCCCCCCCCCTTGGAAAAACGCCCGGGGGGGTCCTCAACCCCCCCCCCCTTTTTCCCCCCCCCCCCCCCCCCCAAAAAAAAAAAAAAAAAAAAAAAAAAAAAAAAAAAAAAAAGAACGACTGACGACTTCAACTAGTACGGCCTCACTACCCGCAAGGCGGCCCTCATTTCGACTAGGCCATGAAGCTCTGCAAGGGCTTTAGAATGGCTTGTGTGAGACACGCAGTTTGACCAAGCCCCCTGGCTCTCAAGTCTAGCATGACGACCTGAAATCTCGTGCCATTTCCTTCGTCTCTGCCTGACCTGTTCCCAGAAGATGTTGTGGACGCGTCCAAGGATTGCAAGACGTCGAGACTGCCAAGGTGTGAATGCAGCATCGTAGGTTAGTATTGGCTTACCAATGGTGTTCTAGCAGTTGTCTCTGAAAGACAAGGTGGTTGAGTTGTGCGGACATTTGCCAACAGTTGCTTGCTATTGTCAGGTACACCAGTTCTCATCCATTCACATCCATCGTTTCCGCGCCTAGTTCAGGTACGCCAGGTCTGTCGAGACACGAGAGAGCATCGAGCGGAGCTTCGAGTCGCTACGCTTGTCTTTTGGTACCACAGAACAATCCGTACCACCAAGCTACCAACTGTACACGGTACGGACTACCTATAATACTCGAATCCAGGCAGCCTTGTAATGCAGAAGCACGACCGTCGTGCCATGATATGTTTCACGCCAGCTCGTTTGGTGAAGGTTCATCACCCATTACTGCATACGGTAGTACTCGTGTGCCTACAAAGCAAGGTTTCTAAGTAACCTGCCATCTACTGGACATTTTACTCGTCGGCTGCTTGTTTTCGATCAAGAAGATACAGTACAAACCTCGGAATACTGTCCCCCTTTGTTCAAATACATTATGGTATCACAGTATGCTTGAACAATGGCAGAGGATAGCGGCGACCAAATCGGGGACAGATAGCACGCAGCAAGCAAGATCTATTGGTGCTTATTCTTTGAAGAGGACTGCTCAACATGGAAAGGGCGTAAACTGTTATGTTACAACTTTGTTCCCGGCAAACAATGACCAACCGCTGAATGCGAACCTTGGCTTTGAAAGAAGCAGAGAGGAAGCCGGGGAATCATTGTCTTTGAAAGCAGCACTCGGACCTAGCGTCGTTTCTTCAGCAAACGGAAACAGTCTGTATGGCTTTGCAACTTACCCATGGCTACTATGTAACCATGGGTTGTACTAGGTTGTTCAAATGAGGCATCAAGAATTATGTCGACATGACTGATTACCCAGAACCTCTCGACTGCCAAGTTGGGTTGTTGCTCCTACAATGTATTGGGTATGTTACTTCTTCATTACGGCCCTTTCGTGGAAAACCCCGGCGGGTCGAGGACTAAATCTCTAAGCCGTTCATCTCGGGCCCAATCGACTCCGGTGCCGGCTACGAGTGCACTCGTAGCTCCCTTGATCGTCTTCCATTTCTGGCGGCTCACCCGTAGCTCACCCTTGGTTTTACCCAGCTTTCTGCCCAGTTTGGTAGATCCATCCACTTGTACGTTATGGGTGCCGGTGGTTTTTGACAACCGCAATAGTTCCGAAGCCAAGGTCGCGTTGTGCTGACCAACGCGAAGACGCTCAAGTTCCAGATCCAATATATGGTCTCTGACTTGATAAGAGGCCGAAGCCTGCTCAGCGGCTTCGGCAGATATTAGATCCCGCTGCCGGATCAATGGTAAGATATCTCTTTTAGCGATACAGACGTCAGCGATATTCGAAGAAGAAATTGAGAAGCTAATCACAGTGAAAACGGACCGTTCTACCGGAGAAGCCTCGGTCCCGCCATGTATGGCCCTCAATACAGGCCGGACCACGACGGCACTTTCAAATATGTAGTTCCGCAATTCAACAGTCGCCTTTGCTTCGAGCAGTTGGGTGCGAGCCTCATTTATATCGAAATGTCCTGTAAAAAATGTAGGGCCTAATGCAGCGCCCATGGTCAGAACATTACAAAAACCTTGAGGGGGGTATACATCGGGTTGCTGACTTTGCGGGTCAGAGAGATCTTGCTGGGCCTGTAGAAGGCCTATCTGAATATGTAGCTCCTGCAGTCTGTCATAAAGTGCCAACGCTTCTTCCTCCGTCTCTGAATGGCGAGGATTGGGATCGGGAACAACAGCCGACATGACGAATTAATCAAGCGCCCCGACTGAGTGGAGGCGGCTGGAGAGATATAGCTGAATGATAATGGCCAAATGTATTGTGTGGTTTGAGGGGTTGAATTCCAAGTGACTGGTCCAGATTGCTACAAGCTACAGATCATTCCAGAGCAGGTGGATGACGGGAGGCAGACCTTCTTCGTTACAGGTGTAAGCCTATAGCGGTGCGCGTAGGACGCCTGGGTGACGCGTATGAAGCGAAAGGCGATTCAATTCATGAAGTCAAAGTAACCACGACTAGGAGCAGCACTGTCATCCTGGTCAAAAAATGGAACATGGGATCGTGAATGTAATGTAAGCAGGTGGTGGTTCTAGCTCGGAGCGCCTGTGGCATCTTGATGGAGCACCCGACTCCATAAATCAGTGAATGAATGGAGTAGGGAATGAACGACACGGGCAGTTACCCATGGTGTACGTAGGTTGAGAGACCGAGGGAGACAGCATCTACCTACAAGTATGTTACGAGTGACGGAGAGCCGGCGGATATATATATAATAATAAAATATGTCACGCAGCTTTAATATCCTGGGTTGACTGAAGCATGAAATAAGATTGTTTTCGTGCCAAAAGAGAGGTAGGTAACTTGTACTCCATGGTGTACGATGTGGGTGAGATACGATACACACTAACGCCGACATCGAGGTGGGAGGTGCATCCATTGCAGCAGCATGGAGGTCCCGTGTCACTGTTGCCGAGCGTCCTGGAGCTGCCCCTGGTGTCGGTGCTGGGCGGGGCGCAAAGGCCATTGCGGATCTGGCCTCACAGGGCCCTGGTGGGGGGATTAGGTTGCTTTTCATCTGGGCACTGCCTCTTCAATCTACCTACTTCCCCCAACCCTCCACCTACCGACTGACGGCCGCTATTACAGACTGGAGAACACCGACTTCATCCGGCGCCAACCTACCGATTATACGCAACAACCCGATCCTGCCATCATACTTGTCAACACCCATTCGGTCCGCCGACTCGTCTGTCCCGTGGAAGCGACTTGGGAAGCATGCGTGATAATGGTTACGCAGGTGTTGATCGCCCATACGGGCCAGCGCCTTGAAATTGACAGTCGTACCATCACATCGTACGCCTCCCCGCCAGTGCCCACATCCCAGTGTTTGCCCATCTGACACTTGTGATGGCTGCGTAGCGTATCTGTTACCATTTGCTGACATCCCCAAAGATTAAATGGCCTGAAGGAATCCGTGGCCAGCCAGAGCTCCATTCCTGTCGAGTGCTTGATTGCCCTGACACCCCAGGGAAGGTCTCTAAGATGGCAGCCAACACAGCCAGAGGTTCGCACATCTGAATGGTCTTGTCAAAGGGCTGTGCTTCGTCACATCTAACTTGGGGGCAACAGACAGAAATCTACATATATGACAGCCGACTGACACAGCGATCCCAACCCGGGGCCTCGTCACCTCCCTTATCCGAATTGCCTCTTCCCCGATACAATGCACATACTCCGCCCAACTCGATTGAAGATACGCGATCCATCCCAGCATGGCAGAAGCTGTTTGAGACACGCCGTGCTTGGGCTATCGACGTTGTGGAGGATTGCGCCAGGATGGACGCCGCCACGCGGGAGCGCTATGCCGAGATGGACGTCATGTTGAGATGTCTTGATGCCGCTGTAGCAAATCTGGAGAATGCCGTCAAGGGACTCGAGAACAAATATGTCGAGCTGAAGGAGTGGTCCACATCAGCTCAGGCCGATTACAGTGCGTTGGCGACAGGTCTGGATCGATATCTTTCTCTGGCCCGGGGCATCGCTATCTCGTCTAGCATGGCCCAGTTCATGACATCCCGTGACGATGGTGGTTGGAAAGGACGCCCACAGCGACAAAGCACCCTCGAAGACCTTGTTGATCTGGAGCTCGCTCGGCAAGCGGGGAAACTCGCACCCTCTGCACTGCGCAAGTTCAAGGATCGCATCACCAACCTGGATAAGGCGGCAACTCATTTGTTCCAAGACGCCGACACTTTGATGCACAAATTTGAGACGACCATGTCTCGCTCAGCCCTGTCCCACGACGGCGAATCGTCACACCTTCTTCAGGATATTGAAGCCTTAGCCAACAAGATCGACAACGACTACAATGTAACGCTAGAGTACACGAGCTCCACCCGGGACACCCTTCTTCAAGTTTCCAAGACGGCAGCACATCACACCGAGAGGCTACTGCCTAGCATCCAAAAGCGCGCACTGGAAATGGGTGATATCTTGTGCTACGCCACCAAGGCGCGAAACAGCCTCGCGGCCGAGTCCATCGAGTTTATGCGTAGCATCACCGAGATCACAAGCGATAGCCACAGCGTAAAATCCCAGATATCCGAGGCTGGCCAGGAGGATGAACTCGCCACGTTTGATCATTTGCGGCTCATCCAACAGATTCCGTATTTGTACGCCTCGTTTGTAGCAGAGGCCATTAGGCGGCGGGAGTGGCTGGACAAAGTCAAACAAGATTCTACCACACTTGCCAATGAAATGGCCATCTTCCATGAAGAAGAGGCAAAGAGGAGGCGGCGCTGGCACAAATCGATTGGGGCCGTTTTTGGTCCTGCCCCGACGGCTGATAGTAAGGTTCCAAATCTTGAAATCAACCTTCGTGGAGATGATGGGGAATGGCCCCTGATGACAAGAAAAGACCTGGATGACTTTTTCAACGCCTTGCGAAATCAAAAGGCCGATCCCGAACTTGTAGTCGAAATCGAAAAACTCATTGCAGACATGGACAATCCAACAAGGCAACAGTCAAGGCGGATGAAAGCCTTTAAAAACGGAAGTGTCCACGAGACTGCTCTCGGACGGAGCGGACTACTCGTACGAGGTGACGATGATTTGCTTCGCTCCTTACAGGCAGACAAAACAAGGCTTGAAAGCAAATTAAAAACTGCCGAAAGCCGAGTGCGCCGGCTAGAAGATCTACTCCATCGGCAGACCCAGGCTTCCAGGCCGAATGTTGGCAACCTTTTCCAGAATCCAAGCCAGCAAGTTCTAGATCGTAACGACTCAATTAGCTCTCTTAGGAACCCCCGTGCTGTTGACGACCGCAGCAGATCATTAGATGGACTTGAGACGCTCATCCATCGAACACAGCAACTAGAGACCGAACTGAACACCGAGAGGGAGCGATGCGTGGTTCTAGAGAGAGAAATCAACGCATTGACGACACTGCATAACGATCTAAAAGGCCAAATGGATGAAGCCAACTCCACCAAGAAGGATCTCCTGCAAAATATGGAAGCACTCAAACGGGAGTTCACAGAAGAGCGAAAGTCTCTTGAAGAAGAGGTCAAGCAGCTAAAGGCTAGGCTTGAGTACACAGAAGACGAGATCGAACACTTTGGCGAGTCGCGAGAAAACGAGAAGGCATCATATGACGAAAAGGTTCACTTTCTTGAGCTTGAGGTGGAGCGGCTTACCAGGGAAAGACGAGATGATTCTCTGAAAGCGGATGACCAGGTGGTGCTTTTGCAGAATGAAGCAAGGCTACAACGTGAGCGTATTGCGGCGCAGGATATCGAACTTCGAGCTGCCCAGGATGAGATCAGAGTGCTCAGCAAGCGACTGGAAGCTGTGACTGAGGATAGGCAAAAGTACAGACAGGCACTGGAGGATATATGGGAATGTCTGGCGCCTGCTGATGACGTTCCTACCGAGTTGCCTGATCTCTTGGAAGGAATCACCGGAAAGGCTGCCGATATTCTGAACACAAAGCAAGGCGTGGAGGGGGACATGTCCCTCATGAAGCTCAACGTGGATACGTTGCAAAATAACATCAGGACGCTTCGCTCGGAGATGGAAGTTACCAAGGATAGACTCACGGAAGAGGAATCGGTCTCGTTGCGCCTCCGCGAGAAGTTTTCAGAAGAAAGGGCGAAAGTCGTTGCCATGGAGGGCGAACTAGCTCATGGACGTGAACAGTTACATGAATTTCGGGTCAAGATTGCCGACGGCGAAACTGGGTCCGAGTACATGCGGAAAAGGCTAGAAGACGAGGAACAAAACCTCGCTTCCATGACGGAGGAACTAGCTGCTCGACAATCCCAAGTGCAGAGGATGGAGGAAGAGGTGACGCGTTTCAAAGCAAAGCTTCACCAAACCCAGATGCAACTATCAGAACTCTCCATACGGCTTGAATCACGTACAGAATGTGCCAAGGATCTGACACAACTTCTTTGGTCACAGAACGACCGCCTTACTCGTTTGCTTGAGCGGCTTGGGTTCTCCATTTCCCGTGAGGAGGATGGTACTATGCACATTCAGAGAACACCTCGATCTGAGCGCTCATTAGCAACGACCGCGAACCCGAATGATTCAGACCCAAGCTCATCACTCCGTCGTTCCAGTACGCTCAACGCCCGACCCGTGACTGACAATGCGGACCTGGAGCTGCTGCAATGGATGAGTAGTGCAACTCCGGAGGCTGAGGTTGAAAAGTACAAGATCTTCATGGGCTTATTTGGTTCGTTTGACATGGACGTCTTTGCGGATGCGGTGTACCGGCGTGTCAAGGATGTTGAGCATGTGGCACGAAAGCTGCAACGAGAGGCGCGAGCGTACCGCGAGAAAGCACACAGCTTCCAGAAGGAGGCTCATGACAAGATTGCCTTCAAACACTTTAAAGAGGGCGACCTTGCTTTGTTCCTTCCTACGCGGAATCAGTCGACGGGCGCTTGGGCTGCTTTCAACGTTGGGTTTCCACATTACTTTTTACGTGAGCAGGATTCGCATCGTTTGCGCAACCGTGAATGGCTTGTTGCCCGAATCATGCGCATTCAAGAGCGGGTGGTGGATTTATCCAAATCCCTACAGCATGACCAGGCAGGGGAGACGAGAAAAGATGGTGCCAGGGGAGAAACGGAGTCTCTTGATGACGATGAGAACGATAACCCGTTTGACCTTTCCGATGGCCTACGATGGTATTTAATCGAAGCTGTTGAAGACAAGCCCGGGGCCCCATCCACGCCAGGCTTGGCCAAGAGCACTGTTGCGGCAAACAATGTCGAAGCAATGGCCGATATGCGGACACAGGGGCATATTTCTAAAGCACGAGGGCTCACTGGACGTGGAGGCACGCCGTTGGGAATCGAAGGCGTCAGCAAGACACTATCCAAAAGTCTCGAGAGTCGTCGGTCCAGTACGGGTTCCAGGAAGACCCTACCGTTTGTGATTGGCGCCTCGTCGAGGGGTCGTGAAAGCGCCCTTGCAAGCGAGACAAACTCCCTCCGTGCGGTTCCGGCAGACAACAACAGCTCGGCTCCAACGAATGCAGCTCAACCATACATGTCCCCCACAGACAAGCTCAAAGATGCGTCTCTGCAGGAAACTCCCCTGCAAACAAACAGTATTTCAGCGGAGGGTGAAAGCATGACCATTGGTGCAAGAAATGATCAGGCTATTCTACAGCCATCGCAGACTCATTCTGAGGTTCGCAACGAGACAGAATCTCTGATAGGGTCTTGACCACATTTCAAACCCATGCACTAACGGGTTGTAGGCCCGCTGCGGTCAGGCTGGGGCGCGGAACCAAAATGCCACTATTCGCAACCGTTTTAGCAAGAATAAAATCAGGGAATCACTATGTAGTACAGACGTCAGCTGCGAGATAGGATGACCAGTAGTCAGTCAGGTCGCTAGGCAGTCGAAGCCTAAGGAGAGGGCTTACTGCTGCCCTGGGGTTGCTTTCCTTTGCATGCCAGAACACGAGTGTGCGGCAAAGCGGTGCTGTGCCGATTAGTTGCAGGCCATGAGAACTATTGCGGAAAGAATAGGATGGGTTTTGGGAAATGTTTATTCTTCTGGCCCAGCATACACTTTGATGTCGGCAATGAGATAATATGTGCCGGGTGTTCTCAACCCTAGCATGCGAATTCGCATTATTAACGTCTTGAAATGCTTCGTTACGATGTCGTGCAAATAATCCAGTACATTCATCTCCACGTATATAGTTGGGATGAGTGAACAAACGGGCGAAGTCTGTTAGTGTACAAGATGTATACATGGGTAGCTGAGATGCCGGCTCGAGCGTAAGGGCGTGTATCCGTAATACACAACACATTGGCTACGTAACGTGCGCAGGCCACCTCAAAGCTGGAAGGTGTTCGGTCCTCACTGGGCGCTGGGCAGGATCTCGACCGATTTGCGAACAGGGTCCAGGCCACCCGCTCTAGCAACTGCGATCTCAATCTCCCATCGGCCAAGGTGTCTAATGCGATCATTGTCCTCGGCCAAGCCCCCTATCTTGACGCTTGATGGCTCAAGAATAATGCGACTAGCTTCCTCGTGGCCAGAAACCAGGGCCTTGATCTGGTTGAGAATATCGCTGCTTGAGACGGAGCCAAAGATGGCTCTCCGGGCTTCGCCAGTGGAAGGAGTCTCGGGCGTAGACGCCGGCACATGCCTGGCAATTAGAGGCGAAATCTTGGGCCCCAGCGCGGGTTTCGGCTTTGAAATTGGAATCGGCACAGGTTCGCGGTGGAAGGTGAGGGTGTTAGGAATCAGCTCGGATAGCAAGGCATGAGCAGTTTCGGGCTGTTTGTAGTTGCAGAGGTTAGCACCAGCCGCTCGCCATTGAACCAGAGACAAGCAGGGAGGCTGTGAAGAGGAGCGAGGGAGCGAGGGAGGTCATTATTACAGTAACGTCCGGAACGTTGACTTGGGAGATCTGGACTTCCGGGACTGGTTCTTCCGTCTTTTGCTCCTCAGGCTTGGGCCTAGTAGCGGCTTCAAGGGCGCTCAGAATGACGAAGGAGCGGTCGACCTCGCCAATAGCGTCGCGTGTAAGACCGAGCTCTTGGAAGCGAGCAGGCGTCATGTACTCTGCCTTGTTCTTGGGGAACCACTCGTTGCGCATACGGCCGCGCTCAATGCGGAAAATAGCATCTGGATTGCAATCAAGTCACGGTTAGCTTACACGGTCCAGCAAGAGGGTTTCGCCCTTACGTTTGCGACCGAACTTTGGAATGTCCTCGAGCAGGCGGACAACCACGCCCTGGTCTTGAAGGCGCATCCGGTGTGACGCGGCTCGGGTCTGGATGTGGACAATGGGCCGGATCACCGGTACGGCACGCGCGCGGGGCTCGCCGTGCCTGGCGGCAGAGGTGCCAAAGGGTTGTGCAAGTCGGCGCAAGCATGCCAGGCACGTTGGCCACTTGCTCAGCGCAGATGCTGTCATTTTCAATTGTGGTTGACCGGCGTCGTCGGAGGAGCCGCGAGAAGATCGGAAGGCGGATTGGATAAGTCCGGCAATTGGTCGTGGGGTGCCGTCCGGGTTGCGGCCTGGCTAGGCGCGAGACTGCGTGCGGTCTTCCAAATTTACCAAAAATTTCGGGGACGGAAGCCCACGGCTGCGTGGCAGAGCTCCATGTCGGATGGGACCCTCGATGCGGGGGCAACCCCTAGAGCGGAACCCGGAGCTCAGGACGCCAAGACGGCTAAAACCCCGCCGGCTATGTACACAGTGTGGACCACCTAAAGTGTTCGGAACAAATGCACATTCGACAGATATGAAGCGACTATGTACTAGAATTACCAAAGAGCCGTTAACGCTTCATATCATCATAGTCGATTTCATGGGCCTGGGTGATTAGGGGCCCTCAGAATCCCTGTTCAAACTCCACTTTTCTTGAGCCAAAGGTATTACACGTACATCGATCACGTGAAATGAGTAAATACTGTAATTACGGAACATATGCCTTACATATGATAAAACATTCACACGCGGGGGCCTCTCACCGGCCCCCTGCACCCCCGGAGCTAACCCTAACCCTAACTAACCCCAACTAACCCTAACTAACCCTAATACTAATTGGTAAACTACTTGAATAATGGTTATTAACGGCTGTTCGCGGGTGTCACAGTAAGTTTGTATAATACAAGGTACTAAGAGTGACCCGTCACGTGATGGAATCCTTGTTTCTGAGGGCCCTTATTCCCCGTAGCCGATTTCATGCAGCATTGTACCCCGGGCGTGTCAAGCTCCTCACCTAGCAACTATGTACAGTAGCTCGTCCCCGACATAAGAAGGTGGCTACCTATTGCATTGACATCTACTACGTATCATGGTCCGAACTGGTCGTAGTAAAGTGAATGAGGGTTAGGGCACTATGTACAACTCTTCCTCCCCTCTGTAGTGTATTGGCATATGTACAGTTCGATCATTACCCGTGCCACGGCCCCCACTTTTTGGGACTCGCCAGACGCGCACCAGCTAACTAGTTTGATCGTTAGCTCGAGACCTCAGGGCAACTTCCCAAGGCGTTTTCGAGCTGTGAATAGTACAGGTATTATTCTTTTTCCAAGTTGAAACACGCCCCAAATTCTTGTTGACGCCTCTCGGATCCATACCTAGGGTAACCATTCATTCGGTCCTTGAAAGATTTAGGAGAAATCGGAAGACATCTCCTCTAGTATGCTAGGAGTGGGAACTTGGCTATCAAATTAATAGACAAGCACAGCACTAGATTGCATGTACCATTCTAACATGTAAAGTAACGCCATCATTTCAAGTACAGCTACTGACTCTTCTATGGTATCCGGAAGGTCAACACGGAGAGCACAAAGGCTATAGAAGACTTCTGTTACAGGAAAGAGCCTGCTTATACAAGTAAACCACCACCTCCCAGCTGCTGATCGGCAAGACCTCGTTTCCACGACACCAACTTCCGTGTCAGCGCACATTACGGCAACCTTTGACCATGCACTGGACCGCCTTGGTTCATCCAGAGCTGCAAATCGTGTGCTACACCTTCGACAAGTTCTGACTCGATGATACCTTCCTGCCAACTTAGCGCAATGCTTATGGGACCCCCTACAACACCCGAGACGCTAGCACAGAGAGCCGGCCCCGCGACTATGGCGCACTGCGACATTACAGACCGTACTATCTGCCACTTTGAACCGGTTTCTCGGTCTGCATTGGCAGTGTTTTCCGGACTGCCATGCAGCGATCCAATGTTGGACACTTCGAATGTGTGCTCCCGCGGCTTGTTCACCTTGTTGAGCCAGAAACCGCGCCAGTTGGCAATCCAGCGAAGCATACTTACCATGTCATCTTGAGGAATGGTCTCGACCCAGTCCTTGAGTTCCTGACGCAAGGTTTGAGCAAGGCTCCAAATCTTCTCTCCACTTGCTTGCTCCCGCAGCCCCGAGACACGAGAAGAGTTGAAACTGTGCGACGCCGAAGTGACCAGCACTCCAAAGACTTCGGCGGGATCAGCCACATGAAATCCAGATTGAATAAAGGGGCGCAAGTCTACAGGAGTGCAGCTCTGAAATGACGTGGCTGCCTCTGCTGTTAAGCGTCGAGCCAGAGATGTGAGAATTAGCACATGAAGTAAAGGGGTGAGTGTGGTGCCATTCGCCCTGCAATTGGCAAGAAGCTGTGACACAGCTTTTGCAGGGATGGTAACCAGACGGAGTCTGGTTTGGTAAGGGTCAGGCCTGATCGGTGCGCCCGCCCAAGGAAGGTCGGTCGCTGGTTTGCAGAGCCAGCCTGAGACGAATTCGTTCCACAACGTGCCGGCGAGGAACCTCCAAGACGTGGTGAATTTGACGAGCTCTTCCTGAGGTGGCGAAATGTGCCCATGAGGCTTGCTGGGCATCCGTAAAACGTGGTCCTCTAGGCACGAGGGGCGGACTAGTGGCTTGTTCAATTCGTCCAAGAGACTGGCCTGAAAAATGGCTGTGCTCCTTCCATCAGCGAGAGAGTGGTGGATGGCAAGCACAATATCGAGTATCAGCCTGTCCTCAAGTTGTGACGGCCGAGGATCATAAACGGCAAGCACCTTCCAGGGCGGTCGGAACCCGACGTCAGGCCACAACCGGTTGTGTTGGGCTTCTAACATATGGAGTAGGTGTGAGTCGCGAGCATGAAAATCAAGTTCGGCACGCAGCTCCACACATTCCAAGTGGTAAGAAAGATCCAGAGAGGACACCGAGGCAAAGTAAGGGCGAGATGCTTCATCGCCAGTGATTGCCACACTCAACCGGGGCAACCGGAGGACCAGATTTGCGACTGCAGCCTCCAATACGTCGGGAACACTCTTGCCTTGGAGGACAGACCATGGAACAGCATAGCGACAAGTGTTGGCCAGGCACCGATAGAAGCCCAACGCGTGCCTTGAGGACGAATACACTTCACTGAGAACAGCGCCGGAATATAACCGTAACGATTAGCCTTGGGGTGAGCTTGTCAAGAGGGGAAGGGGTGAACAACCGGTTGGGAGACTGAGAGGGGGCTGGGGTTTAGGAAGCAGGACTGGCCAATGCAGGGAGCGGACGGAGGTGGTTGAGACGGCGCAGTGCATACAGACGGAAGCACAGGGCTGAAAGGCCATCCGATGATGGAGGACCTTCCACATCCTTACGCGGAGTTGCCCTGGCCACCACCAGAGACCGACGGAATGAGGGGAAGCGGAATAGGTAGATGTGGCAGAGGAGGCGGAAGTGGTATGGATGGGTTGAGATAGATTGAAGACATACCACGGCCCAAGTGGCCGGATCGGCTGAGGGATGCTCGTCATCCGCAGGCGCTAACAACAAGGTACCACGTGTGGAAGGACACTCCAGTGGTAAGATCAACACTTCGTCGTATGGGATTATGCGGTAGTGTGGGGTAGTGAGCGGTAGATTTTGGTTGTGGGGAGGTAAAGAGGTAGGCTCAAAAACTGTTCGATGATTACTCGCTTGGTACGTGGAAGCTACGAATGTAGGGATAGTCATGCGGAAAATAGACAAACCGGCTGCGAAACCGCCAGGCTGTCAAATCATGAGCGAATCTACCGTTCAACTCACGCGGCGTTCTCTGACTGGTGTCTCAGTGTCCCTTGTCGTCATCATTCATTGAGCCTGATGAGATGCTGCCGATAGCCTCATGAATTGCTGATTGCATTTGGTGTATGCAAGTCAAGTTAGGTTGAAGACCGGGGGCCCGGGCCGGGGACGGGGCTCTTGACGGGACGGCGGGAGTGGAAACATTACCTCTACCGTAGTGTACATAGTATGTACGTTACCTACCACCTTACTATGTAGTCTCGTCGATTCACTCTGCTACCTGCGATGACCCGTGCGTTTCTTGTTGTACTGTACGTATGTACTATGTATGGGTCCGAATGGCTGTGACACCCTCACCCACCTAGTCTCTATCCCCTCACGTTCCTAGGTAACCCCCGTCGACAACCATCAGCGGACCCACTCTACAAAAGTGTGGGTCTTCCCTCCTTGAACTTTTAAAACCGGGGGGTGGGGTGGGTTTTGGAGGTTAAAGTGGGTCTGAGAACTGAGACTACACACCCACCTGCCAATCCTACTATTACACTATCTGAGCATAGTACATGTATACCACTGTTGAGATTAGTATTGAAAGGTTAACATAGCAAGGTACATACCAAGGCGTTACGATTGCAATATATATTTTTTTTTCAATTTTTTTAAGAAATTTTTTTCCCCAATTTTTGATTTTTTTAAAGTTTTTGTTTTATTCAAGGTCTCTACCATTTCAGTTGTTGTCCAGCGGAAATGATGCATTGGAGACAACTGGGTTGACCTTCTCCTCCCCCATAGGCTATGTAGACCGACCAATTACTACCAATTACAAGTTCCAAAATTTAGCCTTTCTGATCCCGGCAGAGGTGTGCACGAGGTACCTTTACTACATCTTACCTAAGCAATTGCATCCGCGCATCGTCCATCCAAACGCGTCGGCACCACGATTTGCAGATCACCTGCAATACCTAGGTAGTATACGGCCGGACCAGACGACGTCCTAAATTCCAAGCGGCTCTTCTTCTTTTTAAACTTGGGGATTCAGGCGGCAACCCGTGGAATCTCAAGCACTTCAATCGGGCCATAAAGCTGCTGCCTTTACTCCAATATGCGCAACGGGAACAGAGCACAACCTACAGCCAGATATTTGTTCGTGTCCGTCAGCCGCCGCCACCACCACCTTCACCTCCCTTCACCCCAGCTGAAACATCCCACCAACTTCCGCATGCGATAAAGATGGCTCTTTCTCCAACCTTTTGGTGACTTCAAGCGACCATCGACTTGGAAGAGTGGTTATCATCCCACAGACTATCTTCTACTTGCTTGCCGCTGTTCACTTCACCTTAGCGAAGTCACGTCAAGCCCATCTCATATTTGCGCCAGTCGCGTCAGGTCGCACCCTCAATCGGCTTCACGGCCATTTGTTCATTATCACGGCCGCTTTCCAAACCCCGCGCGCTGGGGGGATATTGACGATATACCCAACATCGCATTTGCAAGATGGAACCCAGCGGTTCGGATGGGGTCGATGTTCTGGCCAGCCGGGCGAACGGCCGCTTCGCATCTTCTCGTGCTGGCAACACCCCCTCGCGACGGCCGAGCGTATGGTCTGTCTCAAGATCCAAATCCAAGGACAAACATGGAGCCTCCGGACGAGGCGACGCTGCCGAATCCCGTCCTGTTAGCTCTGGGTCGTCCGACTCGAAGCACGCCTCACCCGCCATTACAAGAATTCCACGGCCAACCAAGCAGCAACGGTCCTTGCAAAAACGCACCCCATACACCCTCACCGACGCCTACAAACAAGTCGAAGCCGAGGAGGCTGCTCAGAATACCCCAAGTCCGGCCCCCCGGACGTGGCGTACCCGCAGTAGCTCTTCCACTAGAAACAAACTGCACAAGAACCCCCCCACAGCTTTCCATCGACAGATGTCCAGCTCAGGACGTGACGAACCGTTTATGTCAGCCAGTAGCCCAGGCGCGCTTGTGCGTCCAAGCGATGTTTCTGATAGTGACATAGACGAGAAGCTGCATCAGCACGCCATGGCCCAGGCAGATGCAGAAAAGCCAGCGTCACGTGCCAACAGTATCTTATCACGGTCGAAATTTAGGAGTTTCGCCGAGATGGGTAAGGATCTGGCTCGTAAGACGAGCCGGAGCAGCCTTGACTCTCGTAGTAACTGGCTTTCACGCCGCCTCTCGGGTGTCCGAAACGATGCTAGCAGCGGCATTTCGACACACGAAACTCCCAGCTGGGAACAGATCGGTGACTCCGTTCTTCTTCAGGCATCTACCGTCGCGCCGGCTGAGCCCGTCACAAGACCCGTCACGATGCCGCCCAATCACGGTGCCCACTGGAACAAGAACGCGGAAGATGATGTAGCCGCCGATGATACTCAGACTTTCGACGGCCTTTTCTCAAATTTGGCCCGCAGCAATTCCAAAATTGACGAGATCCGACTCCTGGAGATGGAGGCAGCTTCCATGTTTCCTGACGATGAGCGAGGATCCGCAACAGGGCCCAATCAACTGACCAGGGGCCGCAAGTCGAGCCGTACGAACACCAAAATTGAGGAGTTGCGCGCACGAGAGAGCAGAAGCCTGCTTCGAAAGGCCCCAATCGTTTCGAAACTGGACGGCATTAGCGAGTATGATCCAGAGTACCCGTCCCGACCCCCTTCATCAGAGCTTGATCGAAAACCGAGCAAAGAATCTGCCCGGACGAGCACGTCCGGTGAGAGACTGCACATATCAGATGATCTAAGTAAACTCCCGGTACGCAGAAGCATATCGAGCGGCAGGAGCCACACACGAGATGGAGACGGGCGAGTGACGCCAGAGGAAGCCCCTACACCGGCATTTGACATAGGGGCATCCGCTCTCGTTCCTCACGGCCAGACTGACGCTCGTGACAACTTACTGAAATCCGCTCATGATAAAGAGGGTCAGAACAAGGCTGGTACGGCTCATCGTGAATCACATGGCGATCGAAACTCGCAAGAATCTCATTGTCAGTCACAGATAACTGGGGATAATCTACTGACAAAAGAGGCTCTCCCGAGGGGGGAGGACCAGTCTGTTGATCAAGGTCGAGAATTGAAAGGTGCAATTAGGCAAAAGAAGCTGGACAGCGCTAAAAGCGAGGTCAGACTGAGTGTCGGTTTCACTGGACTACACAGGGATCTATCAGTTGATACAGCCTCAAGCTGCAGGTCAAACCCAACGCAATCGGAGTCCGATCCCACGGAACGCATCTACGGCGAAATGAGCTTGTTTGCGCCGATGGAAAATCAATCCGAAAGGGGCTCCCAGCGTGCATTGTCTCCGGACTTCCATGAAGACGATGAATATGAAGCGCCTGGCCAGACGCCTAAACCGAATAGAGCCGAAGTTGTGACACAATCTCTCCCAACCGCGCGCGCCTCTACCGGGCCCGCAACCATGGTCAAGATTGAAGATTTGGAGGAACCGTCACGGTTCGCGGTCAAACCTATGGATGATTTTTCAGACACAGAAGTCGCCGGCGGTGGAAGCATTCAAGGTCGTGACGGTGCCACGCATAGCAAAGCCTCTTCGCGTGCCCGTGGTCGGAAACGAAGTATGTCGCCTCGCAAGATAAAGCACACTCTGTCCGCTAGGGGTGACAGAACGCTTGACCGTGCATCATTGGTCCGACCGCATCGGCGCTCCAAATCGCTTTCACAATTACACCTTCCCTTGGTCAACTCGGCCAATCCACCAACCGTGAAGGACGATCTGTTTGATATCCATCGAACCAACCAAATTGAGGATTCCACCCTGGATGACCTAGCTGATTTACTCGAATCCAAGGATAACGTCCGTGGTCCGGCCTATTCGGCCAGCATCGTACCCAGGGCTGGTGCCAGGAACGAAACCATGGACGGGGACAATGACATCGAGGTTTACAAGAGAATGAGTGAATCGCTCAAGACAGGCCTACTCGGAATCCGAACTGCGAAGCAGGGGATTGAGCGCCTGGAAACATCGGTTTTTCACGCTGATGCAAGGGATCCTAGTCACCAACACATTGGAGATGCCAGCTCAATGTGTTCTGCCTGTCAGGATGACTCCTCCGATGGGCGTACCAAAGTGACTTATGTTCACTTGCCGCTTCCCCAATTGTATCAGCGACAGCCCAAGTTCAAGTTCACCTTGCTTGGGCTCATCCTCTTCCTTGTGTCGTTGTGGTACATTGGAGAATCAACCATGTGCTCCATGTACTGCAAAACTCAATACTGCTATCCTGGTAAGCCCTGTAACTGGTCCCCTGATGATCCGGTATGGGGATACTCTATTCCGGTTAAGCTTGACCAATTGGTTACAGGTGGGAGGGGGAAGGCTTTTGCCAACCAGGCTACGCTGGACATTACGGACTGGATCGCCGACATGTGGGATGCTGCCACTGGCGCTGACATCACCAAGGTTGATACGTCTCATTACACCTGGGAGCAAAAGCGACGCCATCGTAGAAGGCTCTTGAAGAAGGGGTTGGTTAGACCCTCCGGGGAACGAAAGCGTGGCAAAGCCAGACGCGCCAGCTAAGGTGTTGTGATGATATCGGGAAGTATAGATGGAAGAGATTTAGGGGAAGGTTGGTACATTTATCCCACGAGAGTCTTTCAAGTTGCCCGAATGATTTGCTTTCAGGTCGTCAACCGTACGAGGTCGTATGGGATAAGCTTGCTGGTTGATCACGGCTTTGAACCCTACTTCTCCTTATATAGAGCCCATTTTCGCATCTTGGAGGACAAGGACCACGAGAAGTCTTAACAGGAAGCCAGTGATGGATTGAATTGGTCTGTTGAAAAGGTTATGTTGCTACACCAGCACAGGTAGGTGTAATCGTTAACTGGACCCTTAATATCTGTGGAGGGTGCTGGCCGACATTTAATGAGTGATGATGAGATAAGTAATGTAGCGCTTTCCCCCCTTTTGCTATCTGAATGCGCTCAAGTTCTTACAGTGTTGGTTTTCATGGCTCTCAACCATGCAGACAGACGAGATATCGTTTTCCCTGAACCAGCATAGATCTGATACATTGGCACACTGGATACATAGCAATGGTAAGGAACGCGATGCTGCGCGGACGCGAGTAAGCAGTGGCGCCGAGAAGAACAATAGTTGCTGTGCTAGGCCAAGCCTGCAACCAGCGTTCCCCTTATAGAGGTCAAGACAACTGAGACGACTTTTGGAGAACGTGGTCACCGCTGGGCAGCGGACGCCTGAACACTGCCTTTTTCTCCTACCCCTCAATGCCAAGATCGCGCCGGTATTATTGCGATTGGATTGCAGTCCCGTGGGCATTCTTGAGCTTTTTCGATTGCAGCCCTGCATAATACGCATCGCTGTATTTCTTGAAAGCAACTTTGCCTATGGCCTCCCAGTTTTCCTCCACGAAGGCCCGCGTCATATCCTTGTCGTAAAAGCCTTCGTCATCGCGGAGTGAAATGGGTCTCAGCCAGCCAAGTTCTCTGTTATCCTCCATGATAATCTTCTTGATAGCACTCAACAGGCTGCCTCTATATTGGGGGTCGAGGTCGTTTGGAATTGCCGATTTGATCAGGTTCTTTACTGCCTCGGGCTCTTTTTTCAGCCGCCAGTCCTTTAACTGGGCCCAGTAAATGGGCTCAACGTTGAAGGCCCGGAAGGCTTCATCTCGAACGTGGACCCGGAGGTCATTGATACCGGACACACTTTGGCATTGTTGTTCAAACCGGCCATCAGCTCGAAGGCGAGGAAGAAAGTCGTAGAACCACTTCCGGAAGATAGGGCGGGTCTTCAAGTTCCTTTTTGTGCTGCTGTTATCCTGAGGAGGACCGGATGAGGATTCGTTGACGGTGAAAAAGCGGCAGGTGGCAATGTAGTTGAACATTGCGTCAACCGTGGGAAACGGCTCGGACCAATATCCTTCCACCTGCATTCCGAGAAAATGCAGTACTTCAACGGGATCGGTAGTTAGTAGTACCCTGGACTTTTTTCGGTCGAGCTTCTCAATCTCGGGAATCCGAAGCCAAAGGCCTTCATCGTCAGCAGTCAGACCAAAAGGCCGGATCATGGACCCTAAAAGAGTCCACGCATCGCTATGTGCGCTTTTGAAGAGTGCCTGGCCACCAATAGGACATTGTCAGCGCTTCTCTTGTACTATAGGTGCTTCCAATCTCATCATGAGGGCTGAGGTCCTGAGGTCAAGCATACCCAAAACATCTGGTCCATGTTCTTACAGATGCAGATATCGACCTGGATGTATCGTTGCCTGTCCTCTCCAAGCTGGGGTTCGTCTTTGGGCCAGGGGATAGCAAGGTGTATCGAATTATTACATGGGTTGACTATGGAGCGCTCCGCGTTCAAGGCTGCCTTGATGTCGACCGCAAGCTCCTCCACTCCTCTGGGAACACAACGCCGGGGAGATGTTGGAAAGACGAGACGGGTCTCCATGGCCACGAGGATGTCGAGGTCTCCATAGTCCTCTTTCTCGGGGCCCTCGATGGGTCCGGCGACGCACACAAACATGGTGCGTAGGGCAGCGTGGCATGCGGCTTTGACATGATGGTAGATATGGGGCGGCATGCGTGGAGTGTGTAGAGGGTCGTTACCCGAGGAGAACATTGAGCCACCCATGTCGCAACGATTTGAGCTATTCGATCGTGAATACTGGAAAAGAAAAGCTTGAAGCTACTGAGCAGAAGTCGATGATGGATCTTGAGAAGGCTTGTTAAGTAGCCAATGGATCAACAAAATATTCCGAGTACGAGATATGCGAGGCATAATACATAGGTAAGCCGGCGCCAGTGAAGCGCAAAGCTGCCAGGGTTGCCTTCATCCAAACAAGATAAGACTAGATGCGTTCAACGTATAGATGGAATGGGCTCGATTGGCCTCGGCCCGTGAGGGATACTACTAAAACAACTGAGATTCAAATTGGAAGCTGAGCGGTGCCCGTTTGCCCAGGTTTCCACCTGGTCGGCAACCATTCGCCTTCACCATCGTCATCGCTCTTGCAGCTATTCCTGAGCCCTCAGGTTCAAGATATATCGGCATCTTGTACTCGTCGCCCCTGCCATCAGATTCCCGAGAACTAATTGCGAAACAATTGCCAAGAAGTGAGATGATATCAATAACAGGATGGGCGGGAACATGGTAGCGGTTCGTTTCCATCGCTCGTTTATTCTCCTAAACCATGTATGCACTATGCGAAGGTTCTGTGGAAACGCCGAGCGCTGTCACGGTGGTGGCAGTGCCTATACTAGTGTCGTAGGTACATACGTATGTCAAAGCTCCCTCTAGGCGCTGCGGGCCGCCTGCAGGGCTTTTGCCTAGCGAGCCTAGGTGCAGTACGGGCCTCACGACGGGAACGTTGCCCGTTAACATTGATACCGACCAAGCCCTGATAACCTAACGTGCAAGAGCACCAACAATCGTCAAAAGAAGTACCTCTCAAACAACAAACATTCCTCTTTTCGACATCATCACTCCCTAATCTCACTCTCCCGCCTCAACGAGTACAGTCGCTCTCATCACTACTCAGTTACTCGCTCAAATAAAGTCAGTCCCCTACCCAGCGCACCCAAGTCTAGAGACGTCGCTCACACTCCAAAGTTGTCCCACCGCTTAATATTCCACCTGCTGACACCTCTCCCAGCCGAGTTCCATCACACCAATCGATCAATTATGGAGAACGGAGCCACGTCTCAGAGTGAGGGTAAAGACCCCTCGGGTTTCCTCGGCGAAATCATCGGCAATCCCGTCACTGTCAAACTGAATTCCGGCGTGGTCTACAAGGGTTAGTAATAGCTTTCACCTCGTCATTTGCTGTCAAACTACTGTTGTCTTGCAACTTCTTTTCTCTCGGCAGACAAATGCGGAAACTAACAGGACGCCTGGGCTGTGGCACTGGGTGGTGTAGGTGAACTGCAATCCGTCGACGGTTACATGAACATTGCCCTGGAAAAAACAGAGGAATTCATCAACGGTGTGAAGAGGCGGAGCTACGGTGATGCGTTTGTCCGCGGCAACAACGGTGCAGACCCCCCCCCCCCCCCCTTCCCTCTTTCTCTTCCCCCTTTTTCTTTCTTTCTTTCTTCTTCTCTTTTCTACAATGCCAGAGTAGCGTCTAATTCTTCTATAGTCATGTATATATCTGCGGATTAAGGCGGCATTCCAAGCACAGTTGTGTGAGGGGAAGAAGCTATGATGGGACGTGAGCAAGCATTCATCGATGTTGGTACTAGGGAACACACGTGCTTGAAGTCCAGCCGGCTCAAGAGTCAGACTTTCAGCTGTTCCTCCGTGCTCAGGTCAACAAAACAAACTGATCAATCTCACGTGCAGCAGGGGCAACCGCTCACTCAACAATGGGGCCACGTTTGTCATCACATCACCAAGTACGAACTGGGGTAGTTGTGTTCAAGAACGCAACTTTAGTTATTATAAAGGATCCTCTGTATTACATTGCCTGTTTGAATCAACTGCCGACGCTGGAAGCTGATGATCCGCAAACTCGCCCAGCGCCTTGCTCATCCTCCAAATCTGTCTCGAATAGTAAGATCCGCCAATTATCCCCAACTGCAATGCCACCAAGCAAACAGACCATGACAACAATACTCATTCGTATTCGTTCACAGCTGTGCTCCAAATCAACCAAACCAGGCCGTCATACCAATGCGATGCTAAATGAAGTGAATGCTCCGTTGTAATGCTGTTAACACACCGACTCTCCTTCCAAGAATTCTTCCGGACCTTATCACAGACAAGAAGACCGTTCATCGTGTTTAGTTAATAGCAATGCGAATGGTTTCGTGCTTCTTGGCCTTGGGAACCGTGATGGTGAGGATGCCGTTGTTGAGAGAGGCGCTGACTGCGTTTTGGTCGACACGACCGGGGAAGCTGAAAGTCCGCGAGAACTCGCCAATGGAGCGCTCAGAGACCCAGTACTTTTCGGCTGGCGCCTTTGGCTTTTCCTCAGTGGTGGGTGCGCTTGCGCGTTGGGCGACTTGCTGATTGTTCTGGTTGTTGGCGCCGGTAGCAGTGGTGGCAACCGAGCGGTTGTCCTCGTCGACGTCGTCTTCAACGGTGGCGTGGTGAGCAGCAGGGCTATGCGGCTCGCCCTTTTCTGTGAGGACGCCAGCAACCTGTGCGGGAGGGGTGCCGGCAGTGTAGTTGCGCTCAACACGGCCCCGGATCACAATGGTCTGAGGGTCGGTGAACTCGATTTGCACATTGTCACGATCAATGCCGGGAAGCTCGCCGTGTAGCTCGTATGTCTGCTCGGTCTCGCGGACATCGAACTTGGGACTGAAGGTGCGGGTGGGCTGGGTATGACGACGGCTGCCGGTCTCTGGGGCGCTGCCTTGAACCTCGCGAGTGTAAGTATCAAAGTCATCGAGAAGGCGAAAGAGGTTGGTGAAGCTCGGGTCAGAGCCGTAGGAGCCGTAGAAGCCACGAGGGAAGAGCGCCATTTTTGACTTTAGGTGTGTAAAAAGAGTGGCGAAGGAGGTATTTGTGCGTTTGCTGAGTGTAGTAGATGCCGTTGAGAGTGTTCAGAGTGATTACTTTGCTTGCTGGATGATCTTGATCTGCTGAACAGAGAATCAACAATATGAAAAGGGAGACATCAGACCCAGATTTATATTTGAGTGGGAGCATTGTTTGCTTCACAAATTACCTTGTCTTCCACCTGTGATGCTCTCATTCTCCTACCTTCGCGAAGGACGAAGAAGGTGGAAGGAGCATTTGATGCAGATGCCAGGTCATTCTAGAATGGCCACTGTAATTCACTGGAGTTCTCTTGGGGGAAGTCGCGCTTCTGTGGGACACAATCGTCAGAAAAGATGCGATGTAGGCGAGCAAGCTGCTTGACAAATGAGGCTATTCCCAAGCGCGCGTACCAGACGGTGTGAGGCCAATCGCACGCTTCGGGAGCAGCCTAGAAAGTTCCACACTGCACTGCACCCGCTTCAGTTTTGCTGAGTCAGTTGCGTGCGTCTGTGCACGGATCAATCAGTGGTCGCAGTTTCTTTTTTTTCTTTTTCTTTTTTGGTAAATTTCACGCCGAGGTAGAGGGAACATTTCCTTCAGACTATTCCAACATTTCATCACAGAAGCAATCGCGGCAAATCATACTACAATCCAAAACTTACTAACTAGTTTGTTTTGATAGCTTGGTACTGCTAGTTTACTGGATGAGACTGATCATGAACTTCCCATAACCTTGTAAGAAAAAAGTGAATAGTAGCTGTATAAGATCTAAAGAGCATTCAAGAAGGTTCCAGGTGATAAATGTATTGAATCCCGTTTTGATCAATAAAGAGAAAAGGAAAAACCTTTAAAAGAAAAACTTGATGAAATAAACACCTGGCATTGGACTATACCTGTGTTGTGGCCAGCCGTGGGCCAGTTCGCTATGTACTCATCACGTCTACAAAACCGACCGTCGACCAGACAGTATTGTGGGTTTCCAGCTATTGACGCATTGTGTAGCCCTAACGAAGATCCATGCAGTAAACCAGCTGGCTATTGCATACCAAGTATCACCCCATCCATGACCAGGTACCTGCTCACTCTGATAGTCCTTCCACTCACAACAAAGCAGACCTTCCTCACACTCAACTTTCATCAAATGCTGCGCTGGCGCTGAGCAACTGAGCCTAGATCATGCTGAATCAGTTACAGAGGTTGTAATGTGGCTCTCGATTACACTTGACTCTTTTCCCAGCTCCCGTCCGTTTGCAGTTTCGAAATGGGTATTTGCAGGTGCAGGCCACCCAAAAATCGGGAAATAAAGACTGACGATAGTTTGGTCGTATTATCGATGCTTTGCAAATCTTTGCTCCTGAATTCCGAGCGTCCCCTCCTTGTAAGCATGCGGTTGACAACATCCACCAATACAATCACCACCATTACCAAGCAATGTAGAACCAAGTAATAACAAGATGTTGAAGCTACCTAAGTCTGGTCTACTTGGTGCAATAAGCGGAATCCCAATTACACACGAGCCTGCCTCATCCGTCCCATAGCCGACGGCGATGGGGAGGGGGGGGGGGGGGCTGACCGTATATCCATGTGTCTTAAGGATGATAGACTAGGGGGCGCAACGGCGGAGGGTAACCTGCCATAATGGGGGCCGGCGCGGGCATTGGAAGTGGGGATACGCCAGGAAGTGTTGTCGCCACCATGGGGTTGAAAGGATGAAGGCGGGCCACACCAGGTATCAAACCCGGGCTCTGCGCCCGGTTGAACAGACTGATGAGCTTTCTGCCCACGACCGGTTGCAACTCGGTTCCGTCCCGCGCAATCTTGACCTCCCGGTTCGAGTTCCATGGATTCCGCAAACCCCTGGTCCGGTAGAACGGCAGCCGTATTGTCGACACCCATTCAAGCCTGAATGGCTTTCCCCAGGCCTTGGGCTCCCCGCCGACACCCTCTGTGCTCTTGACACTCGCCGTGTCTTCTTCTGAGGCTGCCTGCAAACTGTCTTCTATGGCAACGCTGTTCAGCTCTTGACTGGTCCGGCCCACGCCTTCGTCCTCTCTCACCACTTCCCAGAAAATGGTGCCGCGTGCCGAGTCATCAATGATGCGTCCTTTGGGCGCGAACTCCGTCGCCTCGGTAGGGATTGCCTTGGGCAAGTCAACCTTGCTTGATGGCTGGGCCTTGGGTGCAAACTCGATGGCGGCCGCCGGATCGTCGTCAATGGACGAAGTCATGCGCGCATAACCGAAATATTCTCCGGATTTGTTGGCCGAGAAAATCAGATAAACATTATCTGCGTTCTGCCCGCCGTGTCAGCTGTACTCAAGCTGTGATAGTCCCATAGCTTATGGTCGGGACCTCCACACCGAACAGTGGATGGACTTTCTTACCTTGAAGGCATTGTTGAGCGTCTCTTCGTTGTGCGACTGTGTAGCCCACACCTTGGTCCGCACACTCAGCTCAAGGTCCTCCACTGTCAGACTTTTAAGGACAAAGTACCGGTCCCTCTGTACTGCCATGTCATGGATCACTGGTGCAGCGTTGCTCTTCGTCTCAGCATTTGAGCTCTTGGTCGGTACCGCTGCTGCCATCTCTGTACTGCCGTTCACTACTGTACCACCCGCACCTTCCCGAAAGCCACCGACATTCTGCGTCGAGCTTCCGGGAGGTGTGGATGCCGCCGGACCGGTGGGTGCAGTTACACCCAAGGCTCCCTCAACCGTGCTCTTCCTCAACCGGCTCACGAGTCGTACCGACTGGAACTTGGAGTCATGAAGTTTCTGTTGCGCGGCAGCGCATGTTGCTTCGTCTTGAAAGTTGGCAAAAGCACAGTTACTCTTTGATATAAGAAATAAGGACTCGAGGCCCGGCGCCTCCTTGACGACGTGATGGACAAGTTCCATCAAGTCAGTCTGTGGAGGTAGATTCCCTATCCAAATCGCATGTCCTAAAGAAATAGGATGAACCACGTTAACACTACATCCAGCCACAAAACTATTGCTTTCGACCACTTCGAAGCCAAGTGCTTCAATAAGTGGCCATGGAGAACTTACCACTCTGCCTAGGCTTCCTCGGTGGCCCACGTACCAGTCTATGGCCCCCGTCCGGTGAAGCTGTTGCACGATCAGAATGTACCTCTCGACAAATACATGAGCAAACACTATCAACTTACCATTACCTTGCCCAACGCAGCCAACGGTTGAAGCCACTTGAGCTCCATACTGCGGTTGCACCGAGCGTGCGACACCAAAATGGGTACCTGGTGTCGCATAATGCCCCGGTATCGTTTGCCCATGAGCCTGCGGCGTCTGTCCAGCAACAGAAGCTCCTGGTTGGTAATAGTAATGCGCGTTTGGATGCGGTTGCTGGCCAACGATGACACCACTGGAAGGGTAACCATAGTCGGCTCTGTGAGGTAGGCTGACCTGCGGAGATGGCGAAATGGGTTGGCCATGATACTGTCCTATATGCTGCGACACATAGTACTGCTGCTGGTTTCCGACCCACCCAGATGTACTCCCTTGGGTGCCGTAATGGGACATTGTCATCTGGTTGGCCATATGGGAAGATGGGCCAACGATGGAGTTGTAACTTGGCTGTTGACCCGGACTGTACGGTGACGGTCGATACGGCACATGAGGAAGAGCACTGGTCATGGTCCCCATATTGAACGGCCCTGATCGACCATGTCCATGATGTGACGGTATATCCAACTGTGCAGAGAAGACATGGGGCCCATTGCTGTAATGCTGTTGCTGTTGTTGGTATTGCTGCTGCTGCTGCTGCTGCTGCTGTTGCTGCTGCTGTTGCTGCTGCTGTTGAACGCCCATCGGACAGTACATGAGTGCGCTCTCAGAAGTGGTTTGACCTAGGTCTGGATTGACGGTAGCTAGTGGCGAGGCGGCTGCAGCGTCTTGTGTTGTAAACTCCGTGGACCCTGCGGACCCTGCGGACTTTGTGGGAGTGGGTTGGTCTCGTATATCACCCATAAGGATGGTAATGAATACCCAATGGATCGGTTGTAGCTGGACTCTCGATTCTCGATTCTTCAAAGCACCAAGCTCCTGGTCAGTCCAAGAAGCTAGAACACGGAGTTAAGAACCACGTGTCGTGTTCAACAATCATAAGAGCTTCTCGAACGGACGTGGGGTCAACAAAATCTCAAAACAATGAACTCCCAAGGAAAGGGGCTTCGAAGCGTGTCGTGGTGTGGAGGGGTCCCTAGGGAAATGCCAGGGCCGACTTAGGTAGTTCGGTCGTTAGTACTCTGACAACAGCCAAGTGCGCAACGACGTTGCCGTGCACGGAAGGCTTTAGGTTCCCCAAATTACGCCACGATGGGAGAGATTTGGCAAGTCCAACCAGGGAAGATGCCGAACTGTTAGGTCCAGCAACGTCAAGGGTGTTATATCGATGTAGGGGGAATAAATTCAAGAAACACGACGGGCCGTGGGGGTGGGTTGTGAGGGCTCTAGAGCCCTTGCCCTTCAAAACCGATGCTCGGGGCGGATCGTCGGAAGCAGGTGCCCAATGCAGAGGCAGGAGGAATATGAGCCAGGCTCACAGGGGGTGGTGTCCTTAGCTGCTTGGTTGTCTTGCCTTTTCCATCTGTCAGGTTGCCCTGAATGCTTGCACCTGTTTCTCTGGCTAGGCTAGAACGAGCACAGGTCTACCAGCGAAGAATGGGACGAGGGAGGAGTGAAGGCAGGGTGTATCGACGAGGTGATAGGGTGGGTAGCCAAGCACGGGGCTTTCACCTTGAAGTCCACGACTGTGACGTTTTTGCAGCTTCTATGCCCAAAGTGCCACTGATTATTGTGACAAGACTCCTGGGTTCGAGTACGTGTTATAACGTGACGTTGAACAGGCGAAGTTTCGAAGCAGAGAGTGGCGTGAGGCACAACACTACACTACATTCGGAGGGTTTGCTCTTGCTCCTCCCCTGATGGCTGGTGCTCATGTTCGCCTACAAGACACGGTACCTCGGCGGTTCATCTCCTTCTCGGAGCTAGGCCAGCTCCGAAAGGACCCATAAGCAGGGTTTGAGTAAGCAGGCGATGCCGACTGACTAGCATCCTTACACGGCCAGACTGGGAGGGAGAATGGGACAAGAGATCTGCACAACCGGAAAGTGGCCAAAGTCTCGGAAGTCGCAACTGTTGGACATGCAGGGCTAGTGCATGCCGGACAGGCCAGGGGCAAGGCGCACATGCATCGACAGGACGGTGGAAGAGCATGCCAGATGCGGAGGTATGGAAATCATGTTGTTTGTGGGAGGCTGAGGAGGCCTTGAAGGGTACTCTTGACGGCTCGGGGTGTTCGCAAAGATGGACCGGCAACCAGTGAGACGAGTTACATGACAGGCGAAGATCTGGGCCAGACATGGACACACGGGCTCTCACTCGGCACACCGGGTTGGAGGATATGGAGCTCGATGAGTGGGAACTTTGAAGGAAAAGAAGGCGAGATAAACAGGATGAGCGAGATGGACAGGTCATGTGGGCAAGGGGCAAGATGATGGGTTGGGGCGTTAAAACCTCTTTGACGCCGCCCTATCGCTACGCAGAAGAATGTCTGCAGGCGGAGAGTGCCGGGGCTGGGGGCAATGGGGGTTGAGAATCCGATTCAAGGCTCAATGGGAATTTCTGGACCGGAAATGTGGCATGCTACACTACACGACTAGTGTGTGTAGTGCAGTGTCGACATGCATCGACAGGGTCCTTTGAGCCCTGGCGATGAACCGATGGAGCAAACCGTTTTTGCCACTCGGCTTTCAATGTTGCGACTTTGCGGGACACCTCCAGTGCGGTGTCGTGTGGTGAAGTCCGGAATCTATATTGATCGTCAGTTCCCCGTTTTGCCCAGTGTAAGTCGCTTGGATGTGCGGTTTCCTAATCAGGCAATCTCCATGCTGTGCAGTCTTAGTCTAGACCGCAGGGTTCATGGCAGGATGGATGCCCAGGGCAGGGACAGAGAGAGGAATACTTACCCGGCAGCCGGTGCACTAGACTAGGAGCACACTTGCGACAATGGCCGCACAGAGCCGCAGCTTGCCCATGGAGAGCTCGCACACATGCTTTGAGCATGAATTCAATTTCCTGATAAACTTGGCACAGGTGCATGATATATAGTCAGCTTGGGATGTCGTAAACGCGAACTGGATCATGCCTGTGACTGTGGTCTGTAAGTTCGGGCAGAGGCAAATGCATCAAGTCACGGGTCAACTGCACTCACTACAAACGCAATCCTCGGATTTTCAGCCTCTCATCGTCTAATGGTTTCTTTAGGTAAGTTCTGCCCGGCGAGGGTGGCTACTTCCCTGGTGAGAACCTGTCAAGAGGTTAGCACGTCAGTCTGGCTCCGACGTCATCGAGACTCGCGGGTATACTAGTACCTATAGATGACAGATACGATACGTCTGTCGCGACCCTTTGAGACTCCCAGATCCCATTCAGTCAGTTGTGAGAACGGAACGCTCCGAGCCAAATGACCGTTGAGGCAAGCCACAGTCGGCCAAGGTCCGGCTGCATCTACCATGAAAGATCCAGGGCAAGAGTTAGGTTGGATTGTGTCATATGCTCTCTACCTACAACCACGGTCATGTGGGGCCACCCATTTGTAGGCCCGCTTCTCTTCATAGTTACACAGTACAGCCAGCTATGTCGACCTAACGACGAGTACCTACCTAGTAGTGTAACTAAATAGATGGGAAGATTAGGTAGAGTTACATAGTAGAGGTGCCCTTGCTGATACGAACTGATAAGATAAGGACTTTCTACCTTAAGGTAAGGCGATTTGGGAGTTCTGTTGCAGCTACTCAAGGAACACTTCAGCTTTAATAAGTATGCAGCGAAGACTCTCCGGACACTTTCTTCCAGACAGGTGGGCAGGGGAGCACTTGATTGAATACTTTTTGTGTTATAGATTCGTCACATTTCCTCTGTTTCGATATTCAGTCATTATCTAACATATCTGTTCATTGACTTGTTTGATTTTGGGTTGTTTTTAAAGATCTTCCATACATTGCTGACAATATAGCATTCATTATCAGATGTACGCAGTACAAAGACTCCTTGAGCTAGAGTTTATTAGGTCCTTGGAAGAACGTTTAAGAGTGACGTCGAAAGGCTCAAAAGAAACGTGACGTTAGCTGAGGCGTCTTTGCCACCGCTGCGTCCACTATTGACTGCGTGTCGGCTGTACTGCGCCACATGGAGTTCAAGCCACTTGGATGGAGCCTCGACGACACTCGCAATCAACGACGGACCAATCGAACTGCTCAGCTGGGAGTCGATCTTGAGTTGCTCAGCCACGTCTCACTTCCAGTGGATCAGCTGTGGCCATGCACCATCGATCATACCGACCTATATGAGGACCTTGTCCGAGTCCCTTCGCCGCTTTCAAATCGTTGATAATCAACACATTGTTGTCTTCCATAGCGTGAAAAAGCCGTGGAGGTAGCAAGGAAGGTTTAGCGACAGTCATGAATCGCCTCTTGAATCTTTGTGTACACTAATGATGCATTTCCGGCTCAACCGACGGTTACCTAGAAGGCCTGACAAGCTGTAATATAGAAGACAAAAAAGAAGAAGATCAAGAGGGGTTGTTACGTCGGGAAAGGAACATTGGGTACCCGAAGGAGATGATAGGCCAGCCGCGACTGGATGTCGCTCTGATTCAGTGTGTGGCATAGTAACCTTCATCAACCCAATCGCCAAGCCCGAGTCCGGATAATGCAGTGACCTTTTTTTACACAGCATGCCATATGCTCTTTTTGCCCATAACCAACACAATATGATGATTCTGGAGGTTTATTCTGGTCCACAGCGAGCGATGCTTAACCTTTCTAGTTTCGGCACTCTTCACTTCTGTCTCTAAATCACAGATCGGCTATAATGGAGCCAGACACTCAAAGACAGAATGACCACGGCATCAACAACACTCGCCGGGCCTTAGGGTAGGGCTGGGTTTGTTTGGGGAAGGAAAAGAAGACCACTAGGACCCGTACAAGCTGTACACCTCTGTATGGATATAACTTGTTGGCGTGGTTGTCTAGTAAGGCACACAACGTGACTGGTTACGTGATAACATCAAATCGGCTAGCAGAGTGCTAGAGTGCATGGAAGGACAAAAACCATCATCATAATCTCATAACTACCTGAGCCCAATGCAATGCTTGTCTACTCCTGCAACGCCAGAAACATCCACCTGGTCGCTGGTAACCGTGCACGCAAGAGCGAAGATCATGTGTGCAGGTAGCCTTTCATCTGCCTGGGTTTGGGCCTTGAGCCCTATTACCTGTCGATGCTAATTGGTCTACGCCATTCGATTCCCTTTGCTCCCGCCAAGCGCTCTAACCGAAGAGCCTCAACGGTTGCAGCGTTCATCTCCTTTGCTCGAGAGCTCTATTGCGATGTACCAAGGTCCAAACTTATTCAGAATCAAATGCTGGACTTAGACGTGCTTCCAAAAGCAGATGCACCAACCTGGCGACCAGTCAAGACTGTCTTAGTCCTTCTTCAATGGGAGCAAGACTTCCTCGATTCCGTCTTTGGTGATGACCATCATCTGCAGGCCATCACCGACCTCGATGTGACGCTCAACAGCTCCGTCGAAGGCATCCTTGACCAAAACCTCGCCCTCGGATCGTGTGAGCGGCTTGCGCTCGCGCTCCTGGAGCGCATGGCCAACACCACTGCCAGGCTCATACTGGTTCTTGAAGTTGACCTGGTTGTCCAAGAACGGCATAATCAAGCTGGCCGCCGCGCCGCCAGCCCGGCACTGTTCCCTCTCGTAACTTCCAACGGGATCGTACGAATAGATGGCGCCCTTGCCCTCCTCATCCAAACCACCGAGAATGGCATAGACGTAGTAGGGGAAGAAACGTTTCTGGTATAGAATGGTCGACAGACGCTGGGCGCATGCCTTGACGCTCATGGGCTTGCCGTGGCGGTAGCGGTACATTTTGCAAATAGCGTCGAGACGTTCTTTCAAGGCCTCTCCATCCGCCGCAAAGCCAACGACGGACAAGACGATGGTGGCGTCCTTCTGGTCTGCCGTGGTGCCTCCGATCTTGAATAGCTTCGGATGGTATCGCGAGTTGATGCTGTAGCCTGATGTCAGGCGGGTGTCACCGGCCATGATTGTGAAGTCAGCGCCAGCAATGGCAAGCGTCGAACCGCCGTTGTCCGTGTATCTGGATAGTCAACTGTCAGCTGCGCGATGCCCACTATTGAGGAACAAGAAAAAGCAGCAAGCAGTCGTGTATACTTACGGATCAAAACGATGCTGTCGCGCACCCTCGGGGGCTGCTGTCCTCGGCGCATCGTTGAACGAATAGTTGGGCCCGTTCATGAGGGGGTTCTGACTGAACATGGCAGCCATGATGGAACCGCTTTGTGGTCACAGTTGCGGGATGCTGTTAGTTGATGGATTTCGCACGAATTTAGGTTGGAGAAGCTCGTCCTTGTTTGCGAAAGATCGGGGGTCTGTCGTGTATCGTTGACGATGATGAGTTTGGCGGTGATGTGTGATGGTTGATGATGGGAGGTTGTAACTGGCAAGCACCTGAAGCTCCCGCCTACCTAGCCCTGATCTCTGATAACTGCACGCGTCAACGTGCAGCCGCCTGATGGCTAATGGCGGGGACAGCGGCACTGACGGTTATGGATTAGGGCAGTTCCAACTGACGTGTAGTCACATGTGCTGGTATGTATCATTACACACACTTACGATACGGAATGTTATAAACGTAGGAATCTTTGGTCAGTTACGAATTCTGTACTGCATTTGACGGCGGTACATGTTCGCTACGTTCATAGGGAAATCCAAACCATACCTCAAGCTAAGTGGAGCGAAAAGAGAGGTATGATACTATGCAAAGATGCCACTTTGTCAGCTAGTTCGGGGCGTATCAGGAGATGATAAGTGAAGCCATAGCTACCTAGTAGAGCATGTGATGCCCTGACAATCAGGACATATACCTCCCTACTATGTATACACTGCTGTAATGTAGATACAACTTCCTTTGCTCGCAGGGCCGCTCTGCCCCCTGCTGGGACCAACAACCTCGACGGGACGAAGGATGGAAGGTGGGGCCTGGGTGCTCTTGCGCCGGGGGGGTTGCCAGCAGCATCAGATGGCCTGTCGCTTTCATGTATAGTAGTGGGGCTTGGGTGCCCCTGACCGCGCTGAGGCCTGCTCGGCCTGGACTTCCATCCACCGCTGCCATCACGGCCCTCTGACAATACAGTAGGTACGTACCGTTCCCCTAAAATGGAGTGTAATACCGACTCCCGGAATTGCATGGCTGCGTAGAGGTACCGGGCAGTTGCAACTCGACGTTAACGCGCCATCGTCCCCTTTAACGACTGGTCCATGTGATTCCGGCATAACCTGAACCTCCCATCTTTATCGTCATCGCCCGTGACCCTTTGCGAAAGCGCACAGAATAAGACTTCAAATCGTCCATCTTCCGATCCCTAGCTGTATGGAAGAGAACCGGGGAAGTTCCAAGGTAGGCGTCATGACGGTCTCTACAAGTATAGAGGTTCCTTCAAGTGCACCCTGAATATCTCCTACACCGTACCGTCTCTACATTTGTGCTCTGACGTCTTTAACTCATGCTAAGGTGTATATGATATTGCAGATTATTTATTACGCCCTGCTGCTAGGCTCCTCTAGCGGTTACTCGTCCATCTTCCGGTGTCTTCTCTGGAGCCACGGAGATCTAATACAATAATCGAACCGATCGACCCATATCTGCCCCTATTCGGCTCTTCAGACAGCTTCAACTATCCGGCTCGTGTCGGTCTGTGCGACTATCGGTCTCTTCCTTGTTTCCCGGTCTCGGCACCGCTGCTCACCATGGGCCGCAGTATTCGGAGCAAGGCTCTGCTACAGATCGCCGCCTTGTCCGCCTCGAACCCGGCCGCTTCCTTCGATCAGTCTGACCTTGACAAGCTATGCAGAGTCTCGGTCACGCAAGGCCATTCTGCTCCAGGCGCTGTCAATGGCCGTGGTCCATCATCTCCGTCTTCGGTGCCCCCTGGCGGGCCTAATGTTGGGCGCATCCCCATGGTACAATGGCAACGCCACTCTGTCCCCAACTTTCTAGAACAGTTCGCTGACTGGGCGTCTAGACTATCAAGGAATACGAAGTTCTTTTCGCTCTCTGCAAGGCCGCGCCCAGCTTGACGACTGCCCAGAGTGCACAGAAGCTCACTAGACACTTGGTGCCATATCTTATGGATTCACATTCTCAGACCTTTGCCCTGTCGCCTTTTTTCCGAGAAGTTGAGCCCTCTCCCACCGAATCCCTCAGCTATCACGTCACCACTGCTTTGCTGTCTCTCGGTATAGGGCACGCGACTCATGTCCAACAAGAGGTTTCTGACAGTATCTGGGCCTACCTCAAAGCCTGTGCCCATGCAACACAGACTCTTACCGAGGCCAACTACGAGGGCCCGGCCGCTCTTGACGATGCCATCCTGACCGCTACCATTACCGTTGCTCTGTTGGGATTTTTGGACGCTGCTTGTGCACAGGCTGATTTCTGGAAGTCTGGGGGCCGCTTGAGCCTGGTCGAGCGGTTGCGTAATATGCTGTCCCCACCCTTTTTGGTGGCGGTAGAGACTGCCTTTTCCATTATTCGCAACTCGCATTCCCACGATCGTTATGCCAAAGAATGGAGGCGATGGTTACGCCTATACGACGAAGCTGGGCGGCCATTGGGGGCCTTGCTGTTGCAACGTAGCTTTATGAGATTGCTTGTTGCCGCCACCTCTCTCTTGGTTGCAGAGCCCGAGGCGCTACGGTCCACTCACGTACTGGATATCCTCATGTCGGGTGATGGGTTGCGTCAATCACTGTCTGATAAAAATGGCGATGCCGACTCCCGCTCCGTGGAATTATACGCCACGGTTGCCATGGACCAGATGAATGATCTGGAATCAAGTGCTGATTTTGACAGCCTGTCGCCCGCCAAGCAGAGACTCGCCTTTGCTGTCAAGGGGGCCGCGTTGATCAGTTATCTCAACGCGGCTACCCTGAACGAAGAGGCGGCTGACAGCGATGTACTCATGCCCTGGCTCGAAGACACTCTTGGCGATCCCTCGAGTATGGTAGACGAAGATCTGGCTTCGATAGTGCTCAAGTCAATGGCACTACTGTGCAGGATCATCCCCAGCTATGCCGCCAACGTCAGCCGCCTACTACCACGCTTTATAGTCCAGGGCGGATACAAGAGCCAGACAGTGACGGTGGCTTCCAAATGCCTCGCTTATGTTTTGCAGATGCTTTCAAAGGATGCCGTTATCACGACTTTATACACCCTTGGAAATGTTCTGAGCCCTGGCGGTGAGCGGGCCACGACCAACGGAGCTGGGGGTGAGACCCGAAATGACACTCTCGAAGTATACGGGAACAGGCAATCGGCGGGCAGTGCAATTTCTCTTCAGCTTTCAGGCGAGGAAGAATCCTCTGCAGTTCAGGGCAATGCTGTTCAGGCCATTTGCGAAATTGCCGGCATTTGTAAAGATGTTAAGGTTACTGGCCTTGCTCAATCCATGCTCGCCCAGAAAATCGTCAGGCTGAGTAGTCCTCTTGATACCCGTATTATCACTGGTGCTGCCACCCTGGCTATCAGCGGCAGCCAGTCTGAATTCCGCAACCTGCTCAAGCACTACGCCGCTCTCGCCCACAATGCGGTGGTGGAAAACAGGGAGGGAATTTTGCTGGCCGTAAGTCAAGGCCACTCTTCTCGTTAGACGCACACATGCTGACTATCATGATAGATTGGGCGAGCTCGCAACTACCTTTCCTGCAACATCACTCGCGACTCTCCCCTCTACAGCATCTATTTGGAGCACTTACTGGATGGCATCATCTCCAAGGGAGATGCCCACGGTCTTCCCTCTCAAAGCGCCAAGGAGTCCGACATGGAACTTGCCGCTCGTGAGATCGCACAACTGCTCCAACCTCTTGCCTTGTTCATGTCTACCAATGCCAACGACATTGGCTTTGGAGCTGAAGCAGATGATGATACCTATTCTATGCTTCGTGACTCGTGGTTTAACATAGTCGTCCATGGCTTTACGCCCTCGACAGACCGTGGCAAACGCTATGCGGGCGAGCTTCGTGTCATGGCTATCTACTCGCCACCCCTCGTACTGGACAGCCGCGGGGAACAAGATGAAAGTGATATTGAGCTCAACCCTATCCTACGCAGAGGCGAGAGCTCTGACCGGGAGTCCTTGCAGAAGAAATACCTCTCGGAGCTGATTCCGTCCCGGGCAGGCGAGATTAAGGGGCTCAGTTATCGCAAGGTGATATTCCTGAATGCCGCTTACCTCGTCGAGAGCTTGCGAGCGGATGCGGGTGACTGCACTAAGGCTCTTTCATACTTCAATGAACCGAGCATGCGCCGCGGAGAAGTCAGTCGTACGATGGACGGTATCATGGACGCCGTGATGAGCCGATATCTGAGGAGGGCTCTCGGTGGCTCCAACCCGACATTTTCGGCTCAATTTGCGGCTGGCCAGCTTGCGAGAATCTTCTGCGCGTGCTGTCACCGCATAGACCGAGTCCAACAGGCAGCTTTTGGCTGTGCAGACCGCATCATCAGAGATATTCCGTCGGCACTCTGCCAGAGATCATCTCTGTTCGCACTCCTTGAACTTCTTTCCCTCATGTGGACAAGCTGTCTTGAGGCCGAGACAGATCGGTATGAACCAAGAACTACCTTCAAGTCGTCCAGAGGTAACGTTACCGTCGAGCTCTCTCATGACTACCAATTCAGGCACCTCACACTCGAAAGACTGCATCGAAAGGCAAAGGAGTGGCTCACTAGCGCTGTTAACACAGCACCTGCCGATGTCAAGGGCCTCTTGCAAACCTACCTTTCTGATTTTGATGATGACGCTTCTTATGGGCACATGTCACTTGGCCGATCTTTTGCTGTCGATATTGGCTCAGTAATCCCTTCGACAGACCAGAGGTTGGCTTTGCTTGACGTGTTGGGGGATTACCGTATCAACACTGCTTCGGATTTCATGGCACAGTATACCAAGCGCCAGGAATATCGATACACAGAGGCACTTCCAGACCGCAGCTTGGAATGGCAGGGTTTCATGCACCCTGACCAGGCAACTTCTTCTCTCCCATCAGTGACCAGCGACAGCCTCGACGCCATAACCGCTCTTGCTCATATTGAGAAGCGCGTTCTCAGCCGCAAAACCACTCCGCTTACAGATGTCAGGAACACCTTGCGCCGTGCTGCTGCTTTGCTGTGTCGCAGTACTGATGACGAATGCTCCATTGTCCACTATTTGGTCAGCATTCCGTTCGGAATCTTTACGAAGCAGTCTATCAAACTTGGAGTGTCTCTCTGGCTGGGCGTGATCAACGAGAATCCGCGGATGGAACCCCGGATCCTTGCCGAAATAGCCCAGCAGTGGGAATTCAGTATCCAAAAGCGGCTCGGTCTTTTTAGTTCTACCATTTGCAACCCCGATCCCTTCTTTTTGAAGGAAGAATTTGCGCCCGCCGACTCGGCGTCCGTCGCAAAGCGTAAGCAACTGGTGCATAACATTCTCGCACCTCACACTCGACTTCTGCAGTTTTTTGCAAGTCATTACAACGCTACGCGGCTTGGAAATCCAGATACCCAGCAGATCTTCCTCCGTCTCCTGGAAGTGACCCTGACTGCAATGAAGCTCTCTCATCCTCACCCTATGGCCAGAGAGATTCGGTTCCAGACTGTGTTGTTTGGATTGCGAGTTCTCGCCACGAGCACAACCATGGGAACCACGGCACAGTGGAGGCTGAAGGACCTTGTCCTTTCTGCAGGCCTTAGCTGGTTTTGCGCAGCCCCATGCTGGTCGTTCGGTAGCAATGTACTGCAGCTCAAGACAGAAATCACCCTGATATCAGACGTTCTCATGGCTTTGAAGACGACGGCAACAGTTGGAGCACAGACCGTGGGCAAAAGGTCTTTGGCTTCCAAGGAAAGACTGCTGCAGTTGCTTCTGGAAAATGAGCAGTCGCGACTGACTGTTTGGGTGCAACCGCTGGGTGAGCCGCTCAAGACACCACATCATCTGATTCATCAGACAACTGCGAATAAGAATCTTGTAGAGGTACGTATCGTGGATTTCAGTCATGAGAAAACTGATTTGGCTGACCGTTGCATAGGCCGCCATCTTCCCCCTTGTTCGGATTGCGTGGCTCGAATCTCCTTCATTGGCTGTGCATCTCGCCAGCAGATTTCCTTATCCGCGAGTCAAGCAAGAAGTTCGGTGGCTTCTTCTGAATTTCCCTGCCAAGGCGATCAAAGAGCCCGAAGCGGTGGCGACACTTGTTGACGGCTCATTGCCCGAAGATGTTAGCTTTCAACTCAAGGTATCTACATCCGTTAGCTGCTAACGAAACTGCGACTATCTCTTTATACTGGTTGCTAACTTTCACACCTTAGTACCTTCTCTTCTGGGCCCCGGTTAACCCCATAACGTCGATAACGTTTTTCCTGCCCGCATACCGGAATCATCCTTATCTGATACAGTACGCCATGAGGGCACTGGAAAGTCATTCTGTTGACGTGACATTCTTCTATGTCCCGCAAATTGTGCAAACCCTTCGTTATGATGCTCTAGGTTACGTTGAGCGCTACATCCTCGAGACAGCCCAGTTCTCCCAACTCTTCGCGCATCAAATCATCTGGAACATGAAGGCGAACGCCTATAAGGACGAAGACGCTACAATCGTAAGTTATCTTAATTTGGATTCGGTCGGCAAAGAGATTGATATACTAATACGACATAGCCGGATGCGATTAAACCAACCCTTGACAAAGTCATGGGCCACATGATAGACAGTTTCTCTACCGTCGATCGTGAATTCTATGAACGCGAATTTGCCTTCTTCGATGAGGTGACTAGCATTTCGGGCAAGCTTAAGCCTTTCATTAAGAAGTCCAAGCCGGAGAAGAAGCAAAAGATCGAGGAGGAATTGCGCAACATTAAGGTTGAGGTTGGCGTCTATCTGCCCAGTAACCCGGATGGCGTGGTCATCGGCATTGATCGAAAGTCAGGCAAGCCATTGCAGAGTCACGCAAAAGCTCCTTTCATGGCAACTTTCCGCATTCAAAAGTCCAAAGGAGGGGTGGAAGAGACTGAGGACATGATCGAAGAATCGGAAGCGGATAGTGATGATGCGGCAAAGGCCAGCACCATTGAGGTGTGGCAATCGGCCATCTTCAAGGTCGGTGACGACTGCAGACAAGACGTGTTGGCCCTTCAGATGATCGCCGCCTTCCGAGGAATCTTTCAGACAGTTGGTCTTGATGTCTTTGTCTTTCCTTACCGAGTGACGGCCACAGCACCTGGCTGCGGTGTCATCGATGTCCTTCCCAACTCCATATCCCGAGACATGCTGGGCCGAGAAGCCGTCAACGGGCTCCATGACTACTTCGTTTCCAAGTATGGCAACGAGGATTCACTTCGCTTCCAACAGGCCCGAAACAACTTTGTCAAGAGTATGGCGGCATACTCGGTCATTTCGTTCCTCCTACAATTCAAGGACAGGCATAACGGTAACATCATGATTGATGATGCCGGCCACATTCTTCACATCGATTTCGGTTTCTGTTTCGATATTGCCCCTGGTGGTATCAAGTTTGAGCGTGCCCCGTTCAAGCTAACATCCGAAATGCTTGCTGTGATGGGCGGCAGTCCAGATCACCAGTCCTTCAAGTGGTTTGAGGAGCTGTGTATCAAAGCCTTCCTTGCTTCCCGGCAATACGCGGAAAAGTTGTCACAGATTGTGTTGCTGATGATGGACAGCGGCTTGCCATGCTTCAAGCCGGAGAGCGTGAAGCACTTCAAGGAGCGATTTGTGCTGGAGAAGAGCGAGCGTGAGGCAGCCGATTTCATGAAGGATCTTATCAGGAAGAGTTACGCAAGCTATTCGACGGGATTGTACGACCAATTCCAGCTTCTGACGAACGGCATCCCTTACTAAGATTTTGGGCGTTGGTGGTGATTGGGGCATTCTCCTCAGGCCATCTGTTACAATTTCCACATAATGCTCGTCCAGTTCTATATTACCTGCACGACAGTTCCGTAATGTACAATTTTTCATTCTTTCGTCATCGCCCATCTCCGGTCATGATTTGGTCTTGACTCAAGCTGAGAGCCGATGATTTTGCCCACCAAAATTGAACCGTGATTGTATTGATTCTTGAACGTTGGTGTGCCTGATGTGTAGCCATCATCTTGTAAGCCAGGCACGCTGGTTACTTCCTCTCTTTCGAACAGCCTTGTTACCTGATCAACCAGCCAGCCATCAGCCAGCGTTCGAAGCAGTCGACTATCGCCTGCTGAAGGCGTAAGTCCGCCCTTGTGCGGAGGTAAGGTTGCCAAGCTAACGTATGTGATTTCTGACAGCCCACGACCGGCGGTCCTGGATCTTGACAAACTTCCGAGACGTACCAACACCCTCGAGCCAGAAAGCTGGACTGGCCAAGACTGGGGCCAGCTGAGGCTCTGACAATGCCGGGAGTCTCGCTGACCTTGTATGGTGGCACCATCCAACCTCAACAATGAATCAACCGGGCTTGCCTACGTGTGAGATGAGAACACGAGGCGCACCTCGGTAAACTCCGGTGAGCCTAACATGCTCACTGCGCCGAGCTTATATGTTGTGTTGCTGTTCCATATGAGTGGGGAGGTTGTAACTAGCATAGTCGACGTGGACAAACGCTCTATCGACAATTGGGACAGATTCTATGACGTATTGGAGGCTTTCACTGTACCCCGCAGGTCAACTCGTCTGTCATCAAATAACATGTTTTAACCAATGCGCGGGGGTTTGAAGAACGTATACTTACGCCAAATCATGACTGTCCTTGAGTGACGTGCTGGCATCCAAAACAATGTCAACTTCAACGTTAAGCTTGTCTCCCGAGTGGTAGGCTTGCAAGCCCTGGATCTGTTTGATAGTCTTCGCGAATCGCATCGTCAAGTAGAGCACTATTTTCGGCTCTGTTAGCAAAGGATGGAGGCAGGGAAAAGCGGACTGGGCTGAACTCCTCGGCAACGGCGACAATCGCAACGGCACTTACAGATATTGCGTTGATCAGCAGTGGCGGAAAAGCCGGTCAGGTGTCTGATGTGCTCCCCGGATGTTTGAGACCAGTTGAAGATGACCACCAAGGAGAGTAGCAAGCCTCCAAGCGCATCGAGCCACCAGATTTGACAGTAGTAGCCAACTGCATCGACAAAGGTGGAGGTCAGTGTGAGGCAATGAGGCTTTGGAGTAAGAGGGGGAAAGACAGACTTAATGGGAAAGCGATTGAGCCGGCGTTGAATATGACATCGGTGCTGGCATCCGAGGCCCTGAAGAAACATGTAAGCCAGTGTCTTTCATCTCAAGGAGAAGCAGGTGAGGGATTGAGGGTTTTGCGTTCTCCTACTTACAAGGCCTGGACACTGGAGTTCTTGATGAGACGGCACCAGAGCCAACACATGCCCTTGATGACGACGGTACTCAACATGATGGCTATGGCCGGTACACCACTTGTAAAACGAAACATATCAGCATTAGAGTAAAAGAAAGGCCTGAAGAGGTCGACAGGGAATAGGGATTAAGGACACATACAGTTCAATAACCTCCCGGTCATTTGACATGAGACGTTGGATAGCTTCGAGGGCGACCTGAGCAAACGACGTGATCATGATAACGGAGAAGACAAGCACCCCAATCGGCTCCAGTCTTCTTCGCCCAATGGGATATCGATATTGATCCTGTCGACTGATCAGCCAGGTAGTGATCCACACAATGGCAGTCGACAGGAAATCCAGAATCGCGTCCACCAAACTTGCCAATACTGAGACGGATGGGACGGTCAGGACTACCGCGAGCTTGCCGACTAGGAGGATAGCGTTGGCAGCAAAGTTGATGTAAATAGCCAAGGTAACGATGGAGGCGGAGCTATCGACATCATCATCCTCGAGCCATGGGATCTCAGGCCGGGTCTCCTGGCTAGCAACTTGGTCACTGTCCTCGTCGTCGACGGCGTGGTCATCACCACCGAAGAGAGGTGTGGTCTCGGTTGGTCGGTAGATGTCCTTGGGCGTCCGCTTGACCTTACGAGTCTTGGAGAATGTTGGGGCGGGCTCTGCAGCGGCACCGCTGGTTGGCGGCGTGGTAACAGGAGCCTCCAGACCTCCACGGAAAGCCCATGGCGGAAGGTCGTTGTATTCATTGAGTAGGTCATGAGGCAAGGATGAATCCAGAAGTTTATCAATGTACAGATACTGCTGGACAAGGTAGTTGCAACGCTCATAGTATTCACGGCTACAACAGGGCATCAGCATCAAGCGGCTCGAGCAAGGATTACGGGCAACACTAACATGGACTTTTTCATGGTCGCCAGCTCGTCTTCGGTCTTCCAATATCTTTCCCACCGATATCGAGGGTTGCTGTTTCCGATCAGGCGCATGCTGCGCATATGAGGTCCGTTGAGAACAGCGCTCATGCGCCGCTCATCCCGGCGGGGAGATTCATCATCCACTAATCTCCGTTCCACCCCAAGACCTGCAAGAGCCTCCTCCTCGTCACGAAAAGGGTTTAAAGGGTTTGGTAGTGATATACCAGGGCGGTTTCTGATGAGCGATGCCAGCGCGCTATGTCCTTTGGGGGCCGGTGGTTGCGGCTCTTGCAGGCAGAGAAATGGACCGCTGCGGCCGCCCGGATATGAATGTGCGTAATTTGGAGATGCCATTCCCTCCTGCCGTCGTTTTTGTTGACTTTGGATGGTGAGTGAAAAGGCCGAGGGAAAGAGGACCCGCTGAATCAAAGATAGACAATCAGAAAGGGAAGATAAGGCTGGGTAACAAGGGTGCTTGTTGAGGAGAAGGTGAAACTAGCAACGGATTCAGACCCATGGAAGTAAACAGCGGACAAACCCGCTGCTGGTGGACCTTCAAGAATGAGGTGGATGGAA